GGCAGCGATGGGGACTTATATATATATATATATTCGGGCAATTATATAAATAGCATTTTACAAATCTGACATTCTATTTCATTCATTTTTTTTTAAATTCTCACTTAAATATCAAATTTTTTTATAAAATCTCTTTATATTTTTTTTTATTTTTATCAAATTCTCAGTTTAATAATTCAAAAATATTATCAGGCGGCCGGATTTAATAAATAACAATATTTCATATTGTATTTATGTAATTATCTATTCTTTTATAAAATACGATTTTATATATGTGATTTATGTAAGTTTTGGGGTATTTGAGGATTTAATTCGCTCAAATTAAAAAAAAAAAAGAGACTATTTCAGCAAGTCCTCGCTTAACGGTCAGCAGCTTTAAATTAGATGATAAATGCTCCGTACGAGTGAGAACTTATTACAAAATTGAGCTAAATTCCTGAGAGGCAATATCTAAAGCAGATTTTCACCTTCTAAACGAGCTTTTCAAGCTGATAGGCAAATCAAAACATAAAAACTATTTTTTTGACACTCCGCCTAGATGTGAGACTTTGTCTATGACATTCTCCTCAACACAATTATGTGACTCACTCGTCATGGATCCACTCCACCGAGGGTCTCATTGGACCATAAAGAGTTCACACACCTAGCAGACAATAATCTGCTATAATATCACTTATCACCTCCCAAAAAAGTTATTCAGGTGATGTGCAGCCCAAGACTATTTTTCGGTTATATACCTAACCGATGTGAGACATTTTGTCCGTGATACGGTGATCATAAAAAAAAAAAGGAATAAGTACATTTAAAACATACGAAATATTCATATATACAAATCAAGAATCACATGATTTTTTTTTTTTGTTTGATTAATTGATACATCTATGCGTGTGACCGTCAAATCATTAAAAAATTTGATAAAAACAAAATATATGGACTCGAATTTTATTATATATTTTAATAATTTGATAAGAATTAAAAAAAAAATGAAAAATGGTGCCTAATATATAAATAACAACGTGGCCTTTTTAGTACTATATTATCCGAAATATTTAAATTATTATTATTTTCAAATAAAATTAATTTAATTTTATCGTTTGAAAAATGAATTTGCATGGGGAGGAAATATAATTAGTCGGGTACGTATACCTCTTCAAATCCCATTCGTGTCTATAGTTTGAATTTAGTTTTTTATTTTTATTCTTTTTTATATTTTATTTTTATATGTATTAAATACATACAAATTGTGTGCTATGTATGTAAATAATCCCTTTTTAAAAAACTAAAAATAAAAAATAATACGGAAAATCTTTTTGTATTTACATATCTAATATCTAAACGTAATGATATATATTAAACCTTAAAGTCAACTTTGTAATTTACTTATGCTCAATACAGCCATCAAAATTCATAATTAATTTACCAAAACACGATTAATATTTTCGACCAATTTTATATTTCTTTAATTTTCAGGAAAAAAATTCGCATTTAAAAAAAAAAGAAAAAATAAATAAATCAAGAGGGAGAAGAAGAACTTGCCATTATGGAAGAGAAGCGGGGGCTAACAGGGAGAAAGAGCTTCTCCACAGTAGCCATAGCCTGAGAATCATCCAGCCGTTCATCAGACTCAAAAATGGCCAGAATGCTTACATGAAGGGCCGAGCTATTAAAGTACTGTCCCGTCGGGCTCACCGGCTCATCTCCGGCCGCCGCCTCCGCCTCCATCTCCGGCAGCTCCGCCACCACCTTCACCCTCAACTCCTCCATCGCGATCTGTTGTGTTTTCGAAGCAATACTGAATGTGCACTGTTTTGACGGCTAACGTTCGCCTTTTCAAGTGCATAAATAGGGAGCAGATTTTCACAGTCATTGAGATGGCAACAGCTGTCATTAACATTTGTTCTGTTGCATTTTTTCTTTAGTTTTATTTTAAGAATTTACATATATTTCAGCTTTATTAAATTAATAATAATGATATTTTATGATGTTTAGATATTTGGATAATTTATAAGGTGACTTGTTTATAGAATATAGAATCCTGAATTATTTATTTACACATCTCACATATAATTCAACTTAGATAAATTAATTTTTTATATTTTAATATGATTTAGATATTAGAGTAGGGGCGGACCAACGTAGCATCTAGAATTCAAATTTAGATATTTACTTATAGGAATGAATAATTTGATCTTCTGTTCCTCTCCGAAGTATTACTTTGTCTTTCCTTACCCTAATCTCTCACTTTGGGTCTAGGGTGGGGTGACAGTTTGCCCCCCTGAAAAAAGAGGCTGAAAAAAGAGGCTGGTTTTGCTCATGTATTATGGTATGATGCACGGCGTAGTAAGTACTGCATAGAGAGCGTTATAACATTAAATGTAGAGGTGCCGTAATGCTACAATATATTCAAGGCGCAAATTTCAAATAAATTGGAAAATATTGTAAAGGCGATGGAGGGGAGTGGGCATAAATAGTAAATACATTGGGGGGTTGTGGAGGAAAAGTTGATGAGAGGTGGTTGAAAAAAGTAATAACGGCAGCGATGGGGACTTTAAAGAGGGAAGGAGAGGGACTGGTGTGGAATAATTAATGCAAAATCCGAATTAAAATTTGTCACATGGCTACTTGTTTTGTGGTCTTATTTCGGACATGGTGTTTGGTAGGGAGTAAGTTTCATGCCTTTCTCTGCCTTTTTAATTGAGAAATAAGATCTTATTTGCATTCTTACAAAGTTTTATAAATGTATCTAAGTATTGAACCCCTAGATTTCAATTTTTTGTATCTATGCATCAAAAAGTGTATTTCACTTTTTAAAGGTTGAGATGATGATGCCTTCAATATGATAGGAAAGATTTTGGACAGTATAAATGTAAGAATGTAAGGTTTAGGTATTAGATATGTAAATACATAGGAATTGAGTGGAATGTATGTAAATGTTCCACAAAGGTTTATACCATTATCTTTTGGCATGAGTTACCTTGTTTGTGAGGTCTGATTCATGTTGGACAAGTTTGTAGACTTCAGAAGAAAATATAGGAGAAATATGTAATAGTTGTAATTAAGGTGAATAATTTGTTATGTAAATCACAACAACGATATATTAGTCGACTAACTAAGACAAGACGTTAATAATGAATTATATGCAGAATCGTCTTACCACTGTAAAGAACATGTCAATAACATGTGAAGATATAGCTAGACATAATACTAGCTTTTTGGTGATGCCATAAATTTTTGTAAAGCACAAGTCCTCTTTCTAAGAAATTACTTCAACTCTTATTGGTACGCCATGAAAAAAAATTCATCATCTGACTCAATTCTTGAGGTATGATACGTATCACGGGATGACTTTTTAACAAGAGATAGATATTTAAATATTGATGAAAAATCATCTAGAATTTTGATTTCAGTGTTAGGTATGACTCATATATTAGAATTTGTAGTCTCTTGGAGTGAAAAGATGTGTCTCTCGGAATGAAGAAGTGTGTCTCTCGGAGATAAGTGGGTTGGGGGAGCGAGGGCGTGTTAGTAATTTTATCTATAGATTTTATCTATGTATATGATGTGTAACCCTATGGATATGTACTGAACTCCTCTGAAATAATTAAATTCGCCGCTCTGCTCCCGATGACATAAACATCTCTGTCGAACCTTGTTAAATCTCTGTGTTCTTCTAATTTTGTGTCGATTTCTGTTTTTTTTCGCCCTAATTTTTCAACAATTGGTATCAGAGAGAGGTTCTAGAGCGGAGAAGATCAGTGCATTAAGAAGATTTGAGAAAGAAGTTCGACTATGACTTTAGAATTCGACAAACTGCGACAGTTCAACGACGAAGACAGTTTTTCAGTGGTTTTGATTGCAAATAGTTGGAGTTCGGGCGATCGGGATGATCTTTTGATAACAAGCGCGAAGCAGTTCGGAGGTTAAGGGGATTTTCAACGTGAACGCCAGTTCAGTGGCATAGCCGCAGAGGAACAGGGAGGCGGTGGAAGCAGTAATCGAAGGAGAAGAAAGAATATTCTTTCATAATTCCTTTGGCTAGGTGTACGCGACAGAGGCAGCGTTTTGGTTCGCAGAGGAGGCCGTGACAGGAGGAGACGAGGTCTCTGTGAACTTGGTAGCAAAAGACCTGTGGTGGCGGTGGGAAGGAGTTCGGTGAGGTGGAGTTCGCACATACAGGCTCTCTCCGTGACAACAAGAGGAGTTCTTTTCTTCGAAAGCCAACGGGGTTAGGTGAGGTGGAGTTCACGAACATGAGTTCGTGTGAAGCTACCGTGAACAAGAGCGTGTTTTGCGAACAAAGGACTTCAGATAGCGGAGTTCACAAATTTTTCGCAGGAGGAGTTGCGATAGGTGGAGTTTGGCTGAGGCCTTCACACGAACAAGAAAAGGCTTCGGGCAAGGTGTTCGCAGTAGTTCGACTGATTTCTTTTTTGTGCAAACAGGAAAAGTTTGCAGCATAATTAATTTGAAATAGTAATGTCTTGTGCAAAATTTGATATAGTGAAGTTCGATGGAACCGAAAACTTCAGATTGTAGCAAATAGGAGTGCAAAATTTGTTGGCACAACAAGAAATTTTGATGCCAACAAATTTTGAAGGTTTTGCGAGCTATAAACCTGATAATATGGAAGATGAAGATTGGGAAGAATTGCAGCTACGAGCGTCATGTACCATACGTTTATGTCTGACATATGAGATTATGTAACATGTTATGAATTTGAAACTTTCAAGAGAAGTATGAAAGAAATTAGAATCTCAGTTTATGTCCAAATCTCTAACAAATAAATTGTATCTGAAGCAAAGACTTTATGTGCTGAAGATGCAGGCAGACATTGATCTGTCACAGCATTTGAATGTCTTCAATCAAATAATCACAGATCTGACACGGCTTGATGTGAGTATTGATGATGAAAACCGAACAATGATTCTGTTGTGTTCATTGTCTTCCTCCTATGAACATTTGGTGACTACTCTTACATAAGAGAAAGAAACAATCAAAATTGATGAGATTAGTGTAACATTTTGACTCACAACCGGCGGAAGCATAATGCAGGGGAAAACTCTCATGGTAATTGTTCATATGGTGCAAAGTGACATTACAGATTACAGTGATGGTGATGCACTTTTAGTTACAACAACTCAATTGAATGATGCATGGATTCTTGATTCAGATGCTCTTATCACATTACACCTAACAGGAAATGATTTACTTCATATAAATTATCTAATTTTGGTTCAGTTTATTTGAGTGATGATAGATGTTACAATATTGCTGATATTAACACTGTTATAATTAAGATGCACGATAACGCTATCAAAACATTATGTGACGTAAGACATATTCCAGATCTGAAAAAAATTTTAATTTCCTTGGGCACTTTACACAGAAATAGTTTTACTCCTAAGACAGATGAAGATAGAGAACCGTCAAAATTGTTAAAGGTGCATTGACTGTGATAAAATAAAAGATCACTGCAGGTAATATCTATAAATTGTTGGGGAGTACAGTTGTAAGTGGAGTTCACTCTATTGAATCATATGATGAAATTGCAGTAAATATGTTGATCAAGACAAATACTATCAACAATTTCTTGCATTGCTTGAACTTGTTGAATATTTGCAATTGTTAAACCGCATGGTTGTTCAACCCACTTTGGTGTATCAACTTGTTCAACCCACTTTGGTGTAAGAAACTTCATGATGTATTTCTCCTAAGGGGTTGGATATTTGTCAATGTGGAGATTTGTTAGGTATGACTCGAATACCTGAATTTGGAGTCTCTTGAAGTGAAGAGATGTGTCTCTTGAAGTGAAGAAGTGTGTCTCTTGGAGATAAGTGGGTTGGGTGAGCTAGGGCGTGTTAGTAATTTTATCTGTGGGTTTTATCTATATATATAATATGTAACTCTATGGGTATGTATCGAACTCCTCTGAAATAGTGAAATTCGACGCTCTGCTCCTGTGGACGTAGGCATCTTTGCCGAATCTCGTTAAATCTCTGTGTTCTTCTGGTTTTATGTCGATTCCGATTTTTCTTCGCCCTAATTTCTCAACATTCAACAACAGCTGACTTGTAGTCAAACTGACAGGCTTGACAAGAAGAACCTATTGTTATCAAAATTAGTTCAATCTGAACCAAATCAAGGCCAGATCAAACCATGAAACCGCTTTTGAAAGTTTTCTGGAAACATTTGATTTTGACGAGTATATAGTCAAATCGAGTGTCGTGATAAGATGAATTCAATGAATTAAGATATACAATCTTCATCAAATGTCATCCGATTGAGGGATGCCTTATAAGCCATCATATCAAATTAATTCATATCCCTGCATTAAATGCACCGAAAACTCGGGATGAGGGCTTGAGTTTTGAGAAGAAACAGAAGTCCAGTGCCACTCTTGCCCACAACGACCACATCCACAAATCACCGTTGACCGTTGTTGCAACCACCGACCGCTATTGAGCACTCATATCGCCGTCAAGCACCACTGATTGTCATCGATCATAGCCAACCTCCGTCGACCACCAATGACCAGACGCCGTCAATCTCTATCGGGCACCGCAAGTTGACGTATTAACTTATAAAACCTAGCAACCCTTTTCCACCTGTAAGACAAGTAGTTACAACTGTAATTATTTTTTTTTAGTAAAACTCTTTAATTGGATCAGTCCCCACTGTTTTTTCACATAAAAACTTCCGGTGTCATTATTAGTTAATTTATCTTTTCTGAGTGTATGTTAAATCTTCATATAATATTAAGATAATAATTTACTACTATAGTGCCACAAATTTTCTAGCATG